CAACAGCTCTACACTGGACACGACAAAGCAACCGTTGCAAATCATTTGAACTTTGTGTCAGTACGTCATAAATAGAACGAGGCATCAGTTTAATGTCGCGCCGCATCCAGTATACACAGCATCACTGATTATAATGGGTTCTACTGTATGTTGCCGCTCGCGTCCGGTGTAGACAGGTGTTTAATGTCATTAGTGAGGACAGACTGTGTGTACTATGCCTTAGCGGACAGCAAGAAACCCTCACAAAAATAAATACATAACAGAGAGAGAATAATAATAATAATAATAATAATAAGTTATTCTCTCGATGCTATTTTTCAATGTTTCAAGCGATGCAGGTGTTTTTTTTCCCCTGTAGGTTTTTTAAATTAAAAAAACGTTAATTTTTCATAATGTTTAGTGAAATTATTTGGTAGTCTGAGGGGGGCGCGACCAGAACAGTTTGAGAAGCACTGGTCTAAAGCTATCAGACAGTGTTTAGTGCAGTGCACATGTTTATTACAGTGACTGAATGACCTAAAGTAGTGTGCTAAAGCAACAGATTGTTTTTATATTTCTGCAATCTACGTTAGTTTGTGTGATTTGTTACTGACTTTCATATTAATGTTTACACCAGGCTTATTTAAACATAATTAGTACATGCTTACAAGGTTGGAAGTTCAACAAATCAGTCAATATACTGCGATTGTAGATGTTAAATAAAAATATCATTCATATTAATTCATGCATCACCTAATTTCATCGTAACATATAGGCCTGGCCTACAGAAAAGAACATTTATGTTTAATCTATCTAATAGTGTGTTGGTTACACTATACAATGATTTATAGCTTGTCTTTGTTGAATAATACAATAATACAGGAGCTTTAAAAACAATAATTGCATATTGCATATAACGATTGTCTGCGGCTATGCACGGTCAAATATCACTATATCACTCTTTTGAAATTGTCAAATTTTTTTTTTTGATTACAAGAAAAAAAAAACTCTTGTTCTTGTTGTGATTTATTTTTTGTTTTTCATTGAATTCATAAGTTAACACTGCAAATGAAATGGTTTAGTTTTTTTCTGCAGTCGAAGAAAGTATAGCCTAAATTATGTCACTGATTTCTCTCATTTGAAAGATTATCAAGAATTATTATATTTTTTCCCGATCTGCAGTTTAATAAAAGTTACAAAACTTAGCCTATAGATCTATAGCCTACAGTCTAATTTCATTCTTTCTTAACTTTTAACTTCTTAAGATTTGTTATGAAGAATTTTAAATCAGGCTAGGCTAATGAACTTTCATCATAAGCGATATACGAACATAACGAATAGCCTGGCAATTCTATAAAACGAGATTGAGATTGAACTCTACAGACACAAATACACGACCAGTCAAAAGTTCTTGAACAGTAAGAAGTCTCTTCTGCTCAGCGAGCCCGCATTTATTTGATCCGAAATTTACAAATATTTTTTCTATTTAAAACAGCTGTTTTCTGTGTGAATCTCTGTTA